GTATGTGTTATTTCCCCCCTTGTGTCCGTGCGTTCTCATCGTTCAGTTCCCACTTATGAGAGAGAACATGCAGATCACCATATTTTTAATGAGAAAAATTCATCTTTTATGATTAAGTTTAGATTTTATTAATTGTCCAGGTCCATGATCTGAAGGGAAACACATTGTAATATAAATACAGTGTTTTACTTTGAAAATAATGGAGAATAAAAATTTAATAAAACATCAAGCAACCCAATAATAGGTGATAATTTTTTCTAAATATAGATGTACAGTTTATATAGAAAGTGCAAGATAATATGGAACTAATTAACATAAATATCACTGCATTGTACTTGATCTTTAAACAACACAGATTTACTTTTTGGACCAAAAAGAAGTGGAAAATGTTTGCCAGCTATTCACCCAACAGAGGACTGGTTTTCAGAGTACACATGGAACTCAAGAAATAAAATCTCATTAAAAATTGGGCAAAGGACATGAATACTCATTTCTCAAGGGGAGAAATATAAAGACTTAACATCACTAATTATCAGAGAAATGGAAATCAAATTTACAGAGAGATATCATCTTACCTCAGTCAGAATGGCATTATTAAAATGATATTAAATAACAGATGTTGGTGAAGAGGTGGAGATAAGGGATCACTTATACACTGTTGGTCAGGATGTAAACTAGTAATGAGAGAGAAAGCAGTTGGGGGCTGGTTAGGCAGGAAGGATGTGGTTAGAGGGAGGGTCTTGGGAGCAGGACAGAGAAGGGCAATGTTCACAGGAATAACTGTAGAACAGCACCTATACTGCCTCTGCAGCTAATGGGAAGAAATGTGGTTAAGAACTCCTCCTTGTGACAGGATGTTGCTTAGAAGGGACTGTCCCAATTTCAGCATGGTCACAATAAATCGACCTAAATATACTTAACTTGACCCAGCTCATTGTAGTGTCATTGGCATGACATTAGCATTGTGTTTATAGCTCCCTCACATCCATGGGTTTTGCTTAGGCACTTATGAGTAATAACAAAGACGGAGTCACTCTGGCCAATCCCAGGCCTGCACAAATACAACACCCCTAGGAGGGAACTTTGCCCCTCCCATTTGGGCAAAACTCACAAAAGACTTCCTGGTTTCTGACACATAAAAGATCCAGAATTAAGCCCAATTTTGGCAACCTGCTTTCATCCCCACTTTCTTTGCTGAGAGCTTTCCTTTTGCTTAATCAGTTCTACTCTCCTCACTCTCTGGTGTCCTCATGACTAATTCTTTGAAGCTGTAGGACAAGAATGCATACCTAGCTGAACTAGGGACTAAGCAGACTGAAACAGTAAAGCCACTATGGAAAACAATGTGAAGTTTTCCCAGAAAACTATAAATAGAATTACCATTTGATCTAGCAATCTCAATAGCAGGCATATATCCAAAGGAAAATAAACCAGTATATCAAACTGGTACTTGTACTTGCATGTTTATCGTGGCACTATTCACAAAGTAAAGATATGGAATCAACACAAACGTTCATCAATGGATGAATGGATAATGGATAATGGATATATACACAATGGAATACTATCCACCATAAAGAAAGAATGAAATTATGTCATTTGCAGCAGCATGGATGGAACTGAGGTCATTATCTTAAGTGAAATAAACAAACTCACAAAAAGACATATAATGTATGCTCTCACAGGTGGGAGCTAAAAATTTGAACACATGGAATTAGAGAATGATCAATAAATAGAAACTACAAAGGGTGAGTAGCAGAAGTGGAGGGGTGAAGAGAAGCAGATTAAAGGATACAAACATACAGTAAGATAGAAGTAATAACTCAATGTTTGATAGCAAAGTAGAATGACTGTACTTAAAAAAATTTATTATACTCAGGTGATGGACACCCTAAATACTCTGACTTGATCACTGTGCATTACATATATGTAAAACATTTCTCATGTAATCCATAAATTTGCACACATTTTAAAATATGCAGAATAGAAATTACAGAATTGCAAGGAGGTATAAGTAAACTACATATACAAATTTATACTTTTGATACTTTTTATTAAATGATATATACAGCAAATAAAAATACTAATAAAAACATGGACGGTATTAAAAACATAACAAACAGCTTTAATGTGATGATGTTGTACCCAGGTGAGTTAAATGGAACAGCGCCACCCTCTGAGTTTGAATCACGAGTCCTTTATTAATTAGCTGGCAAATGAGAGACTGCTAATGCTCAAAATTCTCTCAGCCTCAAGGAGGGGGCTGTATTCCTTTTTATACCTTGCTTAAGGTAGGGGATGGGAAGCCTAGCAAGAGCAGAGTTTACAGAAGCAGAATAAGCAAGTTAGATAAGGAGGCTTGTAATTAGGAGGCAGGAGGTTCTCATGATTGTTGATTTTTTAAGGAGGGTATACACAAGCGGTTCCCATGATTGCTGGTTACCAAGGGGGCTATTCGATACTTGTCATATAATCAATCAAGGGGGGGCATTTACAATGGTAAGTGGGCTTGCCAAGCAGGCTATGGTTACAAAGGTTATATGTTTCTATAGTTTTAAGTGCAGCATGACCCAGCACAGTAGCAAGACCCAGGTATGCACTTAAGGGAGGAGTGGCAGGAGGGGTGAGGCAGAGGTCAAGATGGAGTCTATCTGGCTCTTAGCAAAATGGAGTCTGTCTGGCTAACACAGGGTAGGTTAGTCCAGTGAAGTACAAAGGATTTTGTAGCTACATGAGGGAGTCTATGTTGCCTATTATACATGAAACATTTATGAAAACTGCACACATTCTAAGCTAGAAAGATAATATCAAACATGTCAAAGAGTTGGTATGTTCTCTGATGAAAATTAAGAACGAAATTAATAACAACTTTAAATAAGCTTGGAAATTTTATAAGTTTATTCAAATAAGCATAGTTATAAGAAAAAAAACCATAAGGAAAATATTTATATATAAAAATAAATAATAAAATATAGTCAAAATTATGGAAAAGATATAAAGTAGTACTCAGCAAAATTTGTAACTTTAAATACTTGTATTTAAATCAATAAAACCAACAATTAGTGAGGAAAGTTTCCATCTCAAAATTAAAAGGAAGAAATGCTAAATGAAGTCCAAAAGATTAGAATAAAAAACATAATAAAAACAATGTTAGTATTTTTAAAACAGAAAACAAATATGCAATTAAAAGCATCAGTAAAGCTAAAAGTAGTTCAGTGAAAATTGTAAAAGAAATAGACAAACCTCTGTGAAAACCAATTACAAAACACATAAACAATCTCCAAGTATTTGTATGAAGCTAAAATAAATTTCATGTAAACATTTTATTTATAATGTTAGTCATAATCTATTAAAATGATGAAATGACTGTTCTTTTTTAAACCCTCGATGTGTATGTTAAATTATATTATTTTTCAATTTTAACTCAAATTTACAGCCCTGAAATAAAGTCAAATTGATCATAATGCAGTCTCTTTATTATACATCCTAAATTCAATTTGTCAATTATTCTATTGGAATTTTTCATCTATTTTTATAAGTGAGATTGGCTTACAATTTTGTTTCTTGTTTGTCCTAGATATTAAAGAGCATGTGCAGGTTTGAGTAGAAGAATGGCTTTCATAAGTGCTGTTTCATAAATAAATAAATAGAAGCCAACCTTGCACTATGCATGAAATTCAATTTCAAGTTTATGATTATGTAAATGCTATCTGGCATAATTATAATACTGTTCAAAAATATATACAGTAATATCTATGATCTTGGATATAGGAAAATGCTTCTTACCTCACAAAGTCAAATCATAAAGGAAAAGACTGATAAATTCTACTTCATTAAAATTAAGAATTTCTATTCCTCTAAATCATAATAAATAGAATTGGAAATAAAGGGACAAACTTGAAAAAAATATTTGCACTATATTAAACCTCAACATTTTAGGAACACTTTAAAGTCAACAGAGAAAAGTAACCTACCCATTCCAAAAATACACAAAGAAATAAACAGGAACTTCCACCCATGTACAAGAATATGTATAGGGTTATTGTTTGTAATAGCAAGAAACAAAACAAAAGCAAATAATGAAAACCACCCTAATACTCACTAACAATAAAAGGAATTTTAAAATTGTGCAATACAAAATGTAATGAAGAATAATGTACCTTAGTTACACATATTAATGTATTTATACCTAAAAAAAATCATGTTGAGAAAAAGGAGCAAACCACAGAAGAATATGTACACTATAATTCATGTACACATTATAAAAAGGCAAAACCAATCAATGTACTTTTGGGTGTTATAAATCTCTATGGAAATCAGGTGCTTAATTAACTTAAAATCAAAACAGTAGTCAGCTGTGGCAGGAACAAAGTAGGAAAAAATTGGAGAAGTTTATATTATAATATTTTCTTTAATGATCTAAGGGAAATATACATATTTCTATCTAAAAGACAAGTATATATTATGTTATGTTTTGTATTAAATTATATGTTGTACTACAATCTAAAATACAGTGTTTAGATATTATTTATATCCTGTAACCCATATTAAATAGCAAGCTTTATGTAGATAGGTATTTTTAGGTTTTCTTTACTACTGTGTTCCAAACACCTAAATGGAGCCTATCACAATAAATCTAGGACAAATGAATGAACGAAAGATAAGCAGAGTGAATGGAGAAGTGCCTTTGTTAGATAAAAATCCAATGTTTTTCATGTAATTTAATCATACATTATTTAAGCAATTCTTAATATTCAATTGAAATTGTAAAATTAATGCCATTGATAAGAGGCAAACCAATTTATTACAGAATACCCTGGAAAGGCTCAGAAATTTGAGGCATAGTAAAAGACTCCATAAACATGTGGGAGATACATGAAATAGAAAATGAAAGAATTATGTAAAACTATGAAGAACTTTGCCTATTAGACTCCTAGATCCTTACTGCTGGTGTATATACAATCATGTATCTTCCCCTCCCTAACATCTGTAGGAAACAGATGGTTATTTTTCTTAGAGAAAGAGAACTAAAGGAGTTCTGGAATTAGGGGTAATAATCACAGGGGAAAGCAGTATCAAGAGAAAATCAATCCAAAAGCTAGCAGAAGACAAGAAATAATCAAAATCAGACCTGTACTGAATGAAAATGAGACACAAAAAAATACAAAAGATCAGCAAAACCATAAGATGGCTTTTTGAAAGAGTAATAAGATTGAAAGACAACTCACTAGGCTAATAAAGAATAAAAGAGAAATGATTCAAATAAACACAATCAGAAATAACAAGGGGGACATTACCACCAATCCCACAAAAATGCAAAAAACCCTTAGAGACAATTCCAAACACCTCTGTGAATACAAACGAGAAAACCTAGAAGAAATGGATAAATTTCTGGAAACATAACTTTCCCAGATTGAAGTAGGAAGAAATAAAATCCTGAGCAGACCAAAAACAAGTTCCAAAATTGAATCAGTAATGAAAGGCCTACCAATTAGAAAAAGCCTGGCACCAGACAGATTCACAGCTAAATTATACCAAACATATATAGAAGAGCTGGCACCATTTCTACTAAAGCTATTCTAAATAATTGATGAAGAAGGACTGTCTCCTAACTCATTATATGAGGCCAACAACATTCTGATACCAAAACCCAGCAGAGACACAATGAGAAAACTTTAGGCCAATATTTTTGATGAACACAGATTCAATACTAGCAAACCATATCCAGCACACATCAAAAAGCTAATACACTACAATCATCTAGGCTTTATCCAAGGGATGCAAGGTTGGTTCAACATATGCAAATCAAAAAATATAATTCATCACATAAATGGAACTAAAAAAATAGCACATGACCATCTAAATAGATGCAGAAAAGGCTTTTGTTAAAATTTAACATCCTTCACGTTAAAAACCCTCAACAAACTAGGCATTGAAGGAGCATACCTCAAAATAATAAGAGCTATCTATGAGAAACCCACAGAAAAAAAATCATACTGAATGGGCAAAAGCTGGAAGCACTCCCCGTGAGAACCAGAACAAAACAAGGTTGCCCTCTTGCACCACTCTTATTTGACATAGCACTGGAAGTCCAACTCAGAGCAATTAGGTAAGAGAAATACATCCAAATAAGAGAGGAAGTCAAACTATTTTTATTTGTAGATAATATAATTTCATACCTAGAAAACACCGTAGACTCTGCCCAAAAGCTCCCGGATCTGATAAACAACTTCGGCAAAGTTTTAGACTATAAAATCAACATACAAAACTTAGTAGCATTTCTGTACACCAACAACATCTAAGCTGAGTGCCAAATCAAGGAAGAAATCCCATTCACTATAGGCACACACAAAGAGTACCTAGGACTACAGCTAACAAGGGAGGTAAAGATCGTGACAATGAGAATTACAAAAGACTGCTGACAGAAATCAGAGCTAACACAAGCAAATGGAAAAGCATTCCATGCTCATGGATAGAAAGAATGAATATTGTTAAAATTGCTATACAGCCCAAAGCAATTTAGATTCAAGGCTATTCCTATGAAACTACCAATTTTGCAGGATCCTTGGGGTATTGCTTTTCTGGCAGAAAACCGTGGCTTGTAGCATTTTTGCCCAAGTTTTGCTTATGGCCACTGGGCTTGTTCTGCCCACTTGGCCTGGCAGACTGCATTCAGCTCTAGCTACCAGTCTGGATCCCATGCCTCCAAGAGAGACTCCAAGGGAGAGTCTCCAAGTAAGACTGCAAGTCACTGCATGGAGTCCAGCCACGACACAGTCAGACATGCTGCTGCATGATAGGTAGCTCCAGGTGCTGGCATGGGTGCCAGCTCTCCTTGAGGCTGCAGCAGAACCACGCACACTGCAAGCAGCTTCCCTGGCTGGCAACAGGGGATACAGTAGTGCCCGGAAGCTTGGAAATGCCAGAAACTGCACGGACTCAAAGAAGGAGTCACAGCCTCGGCTTGGGGAGCTCCCAGGACTGGTGTCCCAAAGGGCCATAGCTTTTCTCTCCTTCTCTTTGCCAGCAACGTGGTGAGCAAGGGGCATGTTTCATTCCTGTTTGTGTAACAGCTCTCAGCCTTGTCATTTGGTAGGTGCTGAGTTCTTGTCCTGTGACTAGGAAGAATGAGGTATGCAGACAAGAAGAAAGTGAGCAAGGTAAAGAGGAGCTTTATTGAGTGATAGAACAGCTCAGAGGGGACCCACAGTAGGTAGCTGCTTTTCACAGCCAGGGTATCCCAACAAATATTCAGCTCCTAGCAGAGAGGAAACACTAGAGTGAAAAGATCCTCTCTGCAGGCAGGTTGTCCTGTCATCTCTGCAGCTCTCAGGAAAGAGGAGGCCTTAGAGTGGGTGGCTCCTCTCTGCAAGCAGGTCATCCCTCATCTCTACACCTCTCAGCAGAGAGGATAGCTCCTGTCTGCAGCTGGTCGTCACATCACCTCTCTGTCCTCTGCTGTGCTCTGGCTGAGCCTGGTAATATTATGGGCCTCAAGAAGGGTGGACATTCCCACTTACTGGTCCATGGGCAGATATGAGTGGGCCTGGAAAAGGCACCACACGTTCCAACTCTCGTGCATAGGACTGGCAGCCCAGACACCAGCCTTCAGGCCCTCCTCCCCTTCCACCCAGCTGCCTGTCTGTCTTTCGATGCTGTCCATGGTGCTCAGGCTGCTCCTACCAAGAGGAACCTGCAGGCCAGCACCAAGCTGCCCTTAACACCCTACTTCAGCCTCCCTCCCAAATCTTCTCAGTGCCCAAAGTCTGGTCGGGCAACAGCAGCAGGAGGCTGGAGTGTCAGCATTGCCCTGAGTGTGCACACACACGCCAGCTCAGGCTGTGACAGCACCTGGGCTTGGCCCCAATGCTGCTCTAAGATCAGAACAGGCACTGATGGTGGGGAGAGGCCAGGCAGCAACAGCAAACACTCCTGAGCCTGTTGGGGCAAAGGAAACTTCCTGGGCCCCTGAGAGTGCAGAGATGCCTGGATCTGCAAACTCAGAAGGGGTGAAGCTTCTGCTTGTCCCTGGCTCCCACTGGCACTGTGGAGCATGCAGCCCTGGCCACAACCTCAGGCAGCTTGGGGTCGGTGCTCCAGGTCCCTCACTGGGCCCAGGCTGGTGTCAGGGCAGAAGCAACATCACTCAGAGCTCCCCGATGGCCCCGGCCTTCAGGGACAGCTCAGGGTTCCTCCTCACCCAGCTCGTGGACCTGCCTGAGGGCACATCTCTGGAAGTGGATTGCGGACCCTTGCCCAGTGTCGGGAGTGTCAGGCTCAGTCGTCACGCTGATGCAAGGCTGACCCCAGGGGTATGCACTGGTGCAGCCCCACACAGAGCCTCCTTCCAAGGTGATAAACCCAGTGTCCTCTGCAGGGTAGGAGTGGTGGTTGCAACACTGACCAGGTTCTCAAAGCCGACCCTGCTCCCACTTTCCATCCTGGCCTCCGAAGTGTGGCCCCAGCTTCACACTCCCCCTCCCACACTTGGTCCCCATGCTCCATGTGCAGGCCTGGCACCAGCTCTGCCTTGGGGACCCTCTCTGCCTAATGGTGCTGTTCCCCCAACAGCAGGAGGCATGGCCCAGCCCCATCACTGTAGCCCTCAGGGCAGTGGGTTTCAGGAGGCGCCCTGGAGTGGACCAGGAACTGTTCTCCACCTGCCCGTGCCCTCCCTGCAGTGGTGGCAGGTGATAGCAGCAGTGTATGTCCAGGGTTCAGAGCCATGGAGCCTCCAGTCCTGAGAGCGGGTTCCACCTGTCCACATGAGGATGGAGGCAGTGCAGTTGGCCACTTTGCGGGCACAGTGCACAAGTGACCCACCACAGCCACTGCTGCTCCTTCAGCTGCTCCTGCTGCCACTGCCAGTGAGTGCCTCCCCACTGTGGATGGCCTGTCGCTGCTATCACAGTGACATTTCACAGAAATAGAAACAACTATCCTAAAATTCATATGGAAGCAAAAAAGAGCATGAATAGCCAAAGCAATACTAAGCAAAAAGATCAAAGCTGAAGCCATCACATTACCTGACTTCAAACTGTACCACAAGGCTGCAGTAACCAAAATAACATGGTAGTAGTAGAAAAATAAACAGATCAATGGAACAGAATAGACATCCTAGAAATAAAGCCATACCCCTACAACCAACTGATCATCCAGGAAATAAGCAATGGGAAAAAGACTCCCTATTCAGTAAATGGTGCTGGGATAACTGGCTAGCCATATACAAAAGACTCATACTGGACCCCTTTCTTACACTATATACAGAAATCAACTCAAGATGGATTAAAGACTTAAATGTATAACCTAATACTATAAAAACTATAAAAACCCTGGAGGATAGCCTACGAAATACCATTCTAGACATAAGTCCTTACAAAGATTTCATGATGAAGACACCAAAAGTAATTGCAACAAAAACAAAAATTGACAAGTGTGACCTAATTAAACTAAAGAGCTTCTGCCCAGCAAAAGAAACTATCAACAGAGTAAACAGCCAACCTAAAGAATTGGAGAAAATATTTGCAAACTATGTAACTTATAAAGTCATAATATCCAGAATCTATAAAGAACATAAAGCAACAAGCAAAAAACCCTTTTCAAAACGGGCAAAGAGTATGAACAGACATTTTCAAAAGAAGATAAACATGCAACCAACAAGCATATGAAAAAAATGCTCAACAGCACTAATCATAAAAGAAATGCAAATCAAAATTATAATGAGATACCATTTCACATCTGTCAGAATGGCTATTATTAAAATGTCAAAACATAACAGATGCTGGTGAGATTGCAGAGAAAAGGAAACATACACTGCTGGTGGGAATGTAAGTTAGTTCAGCCACTGTGGAAAGCAGTTTCGTGATTTCTCAATGAACTCAAAACAGAACCACCAGTTGCCCCAGCAATCCCATTATTGGGTATATTCCTCCCAACGTATAAATTGTTCTACCATAAAGACACATGCACATGTGTATTCATTGCAGCATTATTCACAATAGCAAAGATAAGGAATTAACCCAGATGTCCATCAATGGTAGACTCCATAAAGAAAATGTGGTACATATTCACCATGGAATACCATGCAGTCATAAAAAAGAACAAGATAATGTTCTTTGCAGCAACATGAATGGGCCTGAGGCCATTATACTGAGAAAACTAACCAAGAAACAGAAAACTTAATACTGCATGTTCTCACCTTTAAGTGGGAGCTAAACATTGAGTACACACGGGCACAATGTACGGAATAATAGACACAGTGTGGCCTACTTGAGAGTGAAGGGTAAGAGGGTGAAGATCAAAATACTACCTATTTGATACTATGCTTATTACCTAGGTGATGAAATAATATGTACACCAAACCCCCACAACATGCAATTATTAATTAATTATACAGGTATTAACTGTTAATACCTGTATAACAAACGTGTATATCACCCCTGAAACTAAAATAA